ACTGGCATATGAAAAGTCCTAACCACTAAAACAAATAAGTAATAATCAAGGCAATGGAAGCTCAAAGAAAAAAAAAGATCAATTGAAATGAGCCACATTCTAGAAATTAAAATACATGTAATTATGAGAGAAGTTTGAAGTAAAAACAATTGAGGAAATAGAAAACCAAAAAAGATTCAACAAAAACATCCCCAATAGTTAAGAAAAGCCCCATCTTCCATAAACCATAGCACATGTTGATTGTGCTACATAAGAAAAAGCTAGATGAGTGAGGTAAAATTAAAACCACTTTCGCATTTTAAAAAATAATACACCCCCAATTGAAAATTCCAATCTTCCAAAAACCACAGTATAAATAATTCATGAGAAAGATAACCCAAAGAGTTATGAGAAAATAACATGAGAAAGAGAGAGAGAGAGAGAGAGGCTTCAAGAAAAACCAAGCTGCTCCTTTGAACAACTCAAATCCATACACACAAATATGAAATTCCCTCATAATCCAGAATCTCAAAGGGGCAAACATTCGCTTTAACAATGGCGACCTACGAAGTACTCTTCGATTCAATAGGCCTAAAAAATTGTGGCTGTTCTAACGGTTGTTGCTCTACCGAAACACTCTGCAAGTATTGGGGTTTATATGATGACTTGTCTGTTGGGGTCCCGTCCCATGAGGGAGGGGCACCAAGGAAAACTACTATTTTGTTACAGGGGTAATTTTGAAAAGATGAAATTTTGACTTGTTGATTAAGTTAGAATCTCATGAAATATGGGAAGTATCACGTGATTGATATGGGTAGTATTTCCTCTTATCTCTTACTTTAAAAAGGGATAGAGATGAGCCACCTTTTAGGAGGTTATGAGATATCATTTTCATAATGGTCATTATTGCATTGAACCATATAAGGGCAATACGTGGGGATCTAGATCTTTTTAGCCTTCATGTTCCTCTCTTAGAAAAGAGCCAAACTCTCATCGTTGTTTTTTCTACCTGCCTTGGGCCACTTCTTTGGGCACATCTCTTGGTGTAATAGAGATACATGGTGGGGACACTTCTTTGGGCACATCTTTTGGTGCAACAGAGACACATGGAGCATTTTTTTAGCGAGAATATGAAGAGAGGCCTTCTCTTAAAGAGATATCTTGGAGAGAAGATGAAGAGAGGCCTTCTTTTAGAGAGAAGATGAAGAGAGCATTTTCTTGGAAAGAAGATGAAGAGAGACCTTCTCTTAGAGAGAAGATGAAGAGAGAAAGCTATCATTATCTGATAGAGAAGAAGAAGAGATAGGAAATTATCATTCTTTTTAAAGAGAAGAAGAAAATGAACGAGAGCAAGTGATCATCTTCTTAAGCATTTTCTTTGAAGAGAAAGAAAAGAGTTAGAGAAGAGAAGAAAAAGAGAGAGAGAGTCTTTCTATGGGTTTATCATAGTGTCTCCTAGATAGAGAATATCCTAAGGGAAGATAAATCTAGACAGAAGGAAAGCCTCTGAGAGAGATAACCTTAGAGAAGAAAAACCTAGAGAGAGAAAGTCGTTAGAAAATATCGGAGAACTCAAAAAAGTTTGTTTATTGGAAGACTATTGTAACCATTGAGTTAATAGTGGATTTATCTATTTCTCCAGTGGACGTAACCAGAAAAGGTACAACACGTAAATCTCAGTCCTAGTAAGTTTTATTTCTAATTTGCTTTAATGTTTCCCACTCATATACAAACACACATTGATGTTGGGTATTTGTGGTCATTAAAAGACTTGTGAGTGTTTGTAATTAAACTTTTAATGTAATGAAACATGAACTTAGTGGGAGTGTGGACCATACTAAGCAAATGATATTTGCTGATATCAGACTGAGCTTTACGAGTTAGGCCAGTCGGTTGAGAAAAAATCATATTTCTTGAGCATAAAGATTTAACATATAAGGGTTATAATGGGTCATCCTTTGATGAAGTCAAAGTATTTTCGGATGAGTAAGCCGAAGGGCTGTGTTGCTCTAGTGTGTGATGGTGACCTTCAGAGACGAGGGCCAAAACCTCATTTACGTACCATCAGACAACATGCACATATGATAGCCATTTCGGGAAAGCGAATCACCTTTAAGGGTGAAACTTATGCATGTGCAAGTGATTACCCATATGCACCATAGAGTTGTGGTTGCATCAGATATAGGTGATCTTGGTATATCTCTAGGGGAAAACTTGAAATCCACATACTGATATTACGATCCCTTTCATATTGGTTAGACTTTGGTGACCCACTAATGAGCCACTGTAATAGAAAGCAAGTGTGAACTATAGTCTACAGTAAAAGGTGAAATGCCGCGATGTTTATTTATTTATTCTTAGACCATATGGATCATTTTCTCATAAAAAATATTTAATTTTATTTGTTTGAATATTATATGATTTTTAAAATTGTTATTTGAATTTTTTTGAATCTTTAGTATTTTATTTATAAAATTTGGATTTATAAAAATAGAGATATCAATTTTACATTTATTTTAATATTTAAATGGATTTAATAAATTCTAAAAATAATATATTTTACTTATTTGAAATTATATGGGGCCCCATTTGTGCGCATGGGCCCACTATGGCAAGTTGGTGGGGCCCATGAAATGCTACCTAGGGTGACCAGCCCCATCTCTTGGAACTTTCCTTTTATGTGATCAAGCGATATGGCTTGAGGCCTAAGATATAATGTGTTTTGGAAAGATTGTATATTGAGGAGGTTTTGAAACCTAATAAAGAATGTGTGAAGATGCTTGTGCATGCGTATAGAAAGCACAATATTATAATTGATATTTTTTTATTTATTTTAATTGATGGGAAAATGGTTTAAGAAATGGGGGATAAAAGTTCTAGCACATTTCATATGACTTTTATGGCATATCTATAGCATGGATGACTCATATCTCTCACCCCACAAGTCATCCAATATCAATGATACATATTCATTCTCACAATAAGTGGCAAGCCATGGAAAACCATAAGAAATCTTAAACCCCTTGAAGCACTATAAAAAGAGGTGCCCTTTCCTATATTCTCTACACCTAAATTTCTCTATTCTCTCTTCCATATAACATAAAGGGACATACCCCTAATAGAGTAGTTTTTTTTTTCTCTTTCTCTCTCTGGTTTGTAAAAAGGGGGCACACCCCATCTCTTGTGATCCTCTCTCTCTCTCTTGACGAAAAGCAGGGGGCATACCTCACATAGAAAGACTCTCATCTCCCATCTCTTATGGCCTAAAGGGTTAAGGTTTTAGAAAAAAGATGTTATCTCTCTCAACTAGATTATCAAGGGGTTAAGATTCAAAGTTTTTGAAAGGAGTTATTTTTTCATTGGAGGGTTTGGCTTAATTGCTTTTTCATGTTTGAAATTGAAGGTTGACAATTGATCCCGCACCATTGGAAGATGATGACTCAGTGTGGGGTGTAATAAGTCTGGCTGAAGTAATATCTGATACTCTCTTTATTGTTTTTTATCATATTTATTTTTTATGTCTTTTATTATTCCCAAGCTTATTATTGTGATTTTCTTCGATTAATAAAAGATACGTTTTAGTAGCACCAAGTTTTAAATCCTAGATTTGTTTTTTTTATTTCTTTGCAAGTCAATTTATTGTAATGGACTACTTGTGAGTAATCTAAGCCGAAAAGAAAAAAAAAAAAAGGAAAAAAAAAAGGAAATAAAGAAGGAAAAAAAAGATAGAAAAAAAATATAAATACCTGCTAGATCACATAAGTCAAACTTTTAATTTTGACATATTTTTGTATCCCACATATATGCATTCTTCTGCGTGCATCCATATTCATGCGAGAAGGCTCTAATTGAGTGAGCCCAACATTCTCTCTCCATGCCTTTCTATCGCTTGTTCTTCTTTTTCAACCATTGCTGCTTCAATTGTAACCATCATTAGAATGGTCCAAATAGCTACTGGGTTTCCTTAAATTACTGTTGCAAAGAGAGAGGGAATAGTTGTGGAGAACTTGTAAGATTCGATCAATAAAAACTAAGAAAAAACGTGTAAGATTCGATCAGTAAAAACCTAAAACAATGGGCTGACAATGGAGCCCAAAACGATGCACAAGAGGTGGCAAATTTTGTAGCAGTTTTGTAGCTTTGCTAGGTTGGGGAGGTGAGCTCTGTTGAGATCCAGCAATAGCAGAGGATAAGTAGGGAAGACAGAGAGAGTCAATAAAGGAGGCTATTAAGAAAAAAAAGGAATGGGGCAATAGGCCGCGCGTTCTTTAGATTTTATAAAAATAAAATAAAGCCTCACATCAAATTATCATCTAAGAAACATTTTTGGCAATGGAAATCTCCATGATGGCGTTCTAAAATCAATTTTCAACACCGACAATGAAATTCGAAATGTAAACAATGATAGAGATTCTTTGGATATATGAATACTTATTTTTAGGACGAAATAGGCGATCTAGATAATTTGTTATATTATACACTATTTTTAGAGTTTGAAATCCTTATTTTTTTTCACAACCATAATGTTTAAGCAAAGATGATTGATGTAAAAATTTGCTAATATTTGAATTACAATTTTTGATGAGTCATGAGGTGAAGTTTTATTTATTTTAATAGCCCTATCAAACCATTTCCTTTGAAAAATAGTCCTATGCAAAAACTCTACCTGTTTTTTTTGGAACATGCACATGACAATTTTAAGGACGCGCAAAACTGGGATATGGAGTCAGAATTTTTGCGCCGTAGTCTTACGCCCTTAAAAACTAGGATACGCAAAATTTGATTTTGCATATGCTTGTGTCCCAAATAAGCCGTAAGTTTTTCATATTCCAGGTTTTTTCTATCCGGGAGATGCCAAGTCTAGGAAGGTTTCTCGAGAGCACATGATTAGAATTCAGAAAGAAATGTGGGCACCCACACGAAATATTTATTTCGTTGAGCGAGGGTTGGCGTGCTGGAACCCACCTTGGTATTTGGTAGATACACAAGTTACAACAACTTGTCCTTTAAATTGGATCAATAACAATCGGGCACATAACAAAAAGTACAGAGAAAAACAGGTCAAAAAAAATATTTTTTTGGTTTTGTAATCCAAGGAGAAGGCCATTGGAAGGGAGTTCGAGGACCAGTCCCTTTCTCTATAGAACCCCACAAGAATTAATGTACAGCAAAACTGGTTGGGAACACAAAACGCTCAAATGCTTTGATTCTCAAAATTTGACTCTGATCCTCTCTGGGTGTTCAAATTTTGTTCATAGTATTGAAAAAAGCAGGATTTTGGGTGTGATTAAACAGAATTTAGCAGCTTTTTTGGGTTGAAAAGCTTTGCTGACATTCATCAGTGGCCTACCAAACGAGCCAACAGTACGCACGGGGCGGCCTCAACAGTTGGGGTGGAGAGAGAGAGAGAGAGAGAGAGAGAGAGAGAGAGAGAGAGAGAGAGAGAGAGAGTGTGTGT